TGAAGTTCAGTTTCATAAGCTTGTTAAGCACGCTTTCATCATTTCCCTCTTGCCTCAAGTGGAAATTCTCTGTTATTTCCTGGCTGTGTCTAATTTGCCAGAGAATCAGTCCTAACGTACACTGCCACAGACCTTATATGCCAAAGTAACAACAACATCAGTGCTCAGCTTCAGAAAAGATCATGTTCAGTCAGTTGTTAGCAGGATAATGCCTCCTTAGGCATATCAAAAAAGAATATCACAGCAGGTTACAGAATCAGACAGAAAAGTTTTAAAGAAACATCACAAAAATCTCCTTTTCCTACTGTGATCCTGGGTTAAAACAGCAAAAAGGTCAACCATTGGAGTTTGGCTGCTTCTGCAACCACACCTGTAAGCCGCAATTTGCCATGCAGACAATTGCAGTCCTGGATACAAACAGCAGGAGGAAAAAGTTCTTTCTTCCCCCTCAACATACCTCTGCACCCCACGAGGAATCCCCAACTTCTTGCCCAACAATCTCTCACTACAGCAGTCCACAAGTCTTTTGAGGGTGTACAGACACTCACGAAAGGTGGAAAAGAAGGGATAATGACTAAGGATGCACAGAGAAGTCAGCGTGCTGTTCCGAGAGCGATGGCTGCCTTTGGCCAGATGCTTACTGCGCGGTGATCGAGTCACATCTGGCGTAGACTCCGTACTTGGAGCCTGTAGTGAAGAACCACTCTCTGGACTCTCAGTGCCAACCCCCTCTTGGGGTGCAGATGCATCCCCAGATTTGGGGATTTTCTGTCCCTCCCGAGCTCGATGCCCTCCTGCGCCTTCTCCCTTCTCCTTGGGTACTCGCTTCTGGAAGGAGCGGTAGAAGTTGACACAGATTCCATAGCGAATGACACCTGTATCTTTGTCTGTGAGCGTGAAGACGAAGGAAGTGTCATCACGGAAGCTCATGCGCTTTTGCCGCACACTCAGGCATCCTTCTGGCTGGCAGAAGAATACAACATCAGGCGGTAGAGGAAAGTCCACGTGGTCTTCTAGAGGGTAACGTCGCAGCAGTTCAGGAGTCTGAGCAACACTATCACTACTTGGCTGCCTACAAAAAAAGCAAACAAAACATGCATAGTTGACTAATGCCAATAAAAATCTTTGGTATCTCCCTACTAACATGTCAGGAGCCTGTGGGCTCAGCTTCATCTTTGTTTCTTCTCCCTTGTACTATCCAGGGAAAGCAGAGCTTCTCAGTCACTAGCCACAATGCTCAATCACTAGCACAAGGCCACAATTGCAGAAAGGTTAAATAGAAAAAAAGTCTACATCATCACTATCAAGGCCCAACAAGGAGCCTGTTCAAATTTGACTGAGAAAAGGACTTTCAGAAGTATGTTGTTCCCAGGAAAACACCATATTTTCATGTTTCCCTGACTTTGATTTCCAAAATTAATTTAACTGCACAGGTCTCCGGGCAACACTTGGTTAGGAAATACACTGTCCCTCTCCAAATATACAGTCAGATGAAAATTTCCTAGATTTCAGACACTTATGAACAAAATGAAAAATCAAATGAGACAATCCAGTATCAATTCCTAACTGAGAAAAAGAAGAAATTACTAGGAAAGAACTCGGACAAATGGTGGACCGATATGGAGCTCATCCTGTAAAATTTTCATTAAAAAGTTCTAGCAGCCATAGATATATATATTTCTGTGTTTGATTTTCAAGTTGGATTTGAAGTGTAAGTTACTATAAAAGCTGGGTAGTAATATGCCAACCTATTTAACACTGTGGCTCACCAACCTTTGTACCACAGATCACTAATGGAACACAAAGACAGAAAGGCAATGCTGTTTATTCCCCATTTTCCACCAGAAGACCAGTTTCTTCTAAGGTATTAACTATCTTCCTACCACTATTCTTCCATGAAAGTTACTGAGTAACTGCTAGAGAAATAGTATGAGATCCACACAGTGAAGGAAGAAAAATATGTTCCCAGAACAACCTCTCTTTCTCTCACCGTTTTATAAAGTAATTAGCATTTAGTATCATGTTTACTAAATGGATGTCATACAAGATATTTTCTCACCTTGATACTTTAGATTTGCCCATTTCAAAACACAAATGACACTTCCTTTTTCTTTTATCTGAGAGGTGAGAAAACCCAAACAAATAGTAATAGAATGTTTGTAATTTACAAAAGAAAATCACTGGTGTAAATAGCTCTGCTGACTAATTCTCCCAAAATAATACTTTATTAAAGAAAAAGTAAAAATGCTTCAGTATTAAAACATAAATTGGTAAAAAAATTTATACTGTCTGTACAGTTAAGTACTGAAATACTGCACAAAAAGAAAAAAGAAACCCTAAAGAGCTTTTATATTTTAGTGGACAAAATTAATACACCATCTGCTGAAGAATAAATGTCAAATAACGCTAATACTGTTTAGAGAGTCTATTTGTCAGTTAATGGTTAAAGAAAATGTCATCAACAAAGTACCAGTGAATATATCATCAGTTCATGCCTTTGCAGTAATATTAGCTACAAAGACAGTCTTCTCAGACATATAGAAAATTTGCATCTAATAAAAGGCGAATACTTCCAAAAAGCATTGGTATTTGCGCATGGTGGATAACAAGATGGAAAGGTAAAGGCCACATGGAGCTCCTAAAGATTTTGCAGTAGAAGCTACTTCAGCCAGCTCCATCTCTTATCATAAGCGTTTTTGAAGCGCCTAATGAGACAATAGACCTCTGAGCATTAGCAATCTAGCTACCACTGCCCAGCAAAAAGCAAGAGAACTCCAGGAATCCAGAAGTGATGCTGGCAAATTTCTAAGTGAGAACATCAGACACCGTAAGCATCACTGGAAGAGGCAGTTAACATTTTTTCCTCTTTCTTTTCAGTCAGTGACACACATATGGAAAACCTGGTTATTTTTCTACAGACAATAAGAAGTAACTAAACTATTAAATTATTCTGTCCATAAAATACAATAATAATTATTACTTAGGATTATGTGATTTCCTCCACTTAGCCTACTTAAATATTGCACTCAAAGTATTCTGAAAAGAAAGTGGGAGGTAAAGCAACAGGCTGGTGCACATAAATGACTGACACTTAGAAATGAAAGTAAAATAGACTTTGGAATACGCCCATTAACTAGACCAGCAGAAAGTTAGTGAACAAACTTTGAATAAAGAAAAATAATGTTTACTGAGCACCTGTGTATTTGACAAACAGCACACACAACATCCCCACATTTCATATATGCCTTAAGTAAATAAGCACAACATTTTATCTATTGATAGTTAGTAAGATTTTAAAAAAGAGAAAGCATTCATGTCATTACTATGAGGATAAATGAGTATTAGAGAGAGAAACAGCCAAGTAAGGCAAGTTCCAGATTTTTTTATTTTTAAATTGAGTTTATAGACTACACTTCAAAAGCTAGGAAAGCAACCCCAAACTAGTAGTTCACTGGTATGTGGCTTTCGGTATTTTGAATTTGCAAATCCCTCTATGATGCTAGTACAAGCCAGGAAGTTCAGACACACAGGCTACCTGACAGTCATATATAAACGGCTTTTCTTAGTCACCCTTTGCAAGACCCTTGGAAAGAAGTCTAAAGACCACAACTTAAAAAACTTCGGCTGCACTAGTATCTTTCAAAAACTGCCCTGGCCCAAGTAGATGCTCCCATCATGGTAGCATTCTGCATGCATTCCGGAAAGCACTTCCTCGGCACCAAGCCAAGCTTCATCAATGGCTCCTAGGCTATTTATCCCCACTGTACTGCCCAAGCAAAAGCAGTGCTGAGATGCTTTTACATTACCTGGCTCCAACGATCACAAGATAGTCGAGTAACCGAGGGCAGATTTTCTTTTTCTGCACCATTGTCCTTGATGCCCCTCCCAATGTAATCTCAGTGAATTTCTGTTCATCGATCCAGTAGTCAGTTATACAGTCAGCTGTGATCAACTGCCTCGGGGAACAGAATCTGCTTGCAACTGTCTGGCAAGTCCAACCTATGACCAAGGAAAGCAAGAGTGTCAAAGGAACAATCAGGAATATCAAATACATATAAGCAACTTCATGACCACAATTACACTGCCCAAAAGCCTCAGTGTTCTGTGCAGTCATGGGCATCCAGAGACCTCTCTCTTCCTGAGCATAAAAAACACAACCACATGCCCACAAAAGCAAAGAGAGCTGAAAAACACACAAAGAAGTACAAGAGGATCTCAAGAAAGATCACAGACAAACAAAGAAGCATATCACTGGTAAAGAGCTATTCATTAAATGCTTCAAGGCAAAAGTATTGTTTAGGCAAATCCCTGGGATTCCTACAGTGCTTGGGAAAGGAGCTTTTATTGGCAATTCTGTACAGTTAAAACACTACTGAAGAAAAAAACGCAATCTGAACTTTAGCTGTCTGATAAACAGAGTAACTAAAGAAGGTGTAATCTCAAGAGAAGCCCAATTTGATATTACACACCTCACCCTCCCAAACCAGGTTGTGGCCTAGAACAAGAATGATCTCCACAATCCCCAACAACTGCGATCTCTAACACTTTTTCTGTGAAGATACAGAATTGCAGTTTGCAATAGCAAAAGTGCTTCTTGTAAATCATACTGTTTCTTTCACTTATTCAATTCCATTTATCTTGCATATCTTCACCATGCACTCTTGATATGTGTGCCTCCTACAGCTACTTTCTTTGCCCATTTTATAATAGAAAAATCCTTTTGGCATAAATAACATTTTGTAGAACCCATGCTGCAACAGCTCTTGATCCAACATATTCTGCAAATATCGTGGTGCAGATAAACTTGAGAGGAACAAGATGAAGTTGAGATGATCATGTGGATCTTTTTGCCTTCACTTTGAAGAACTACTTTATCTGTTTTCTTTCCAAATAGCTTTACCCAGAACTCTTTAAGGAACTCACTGTTCAGTTACAGATACAGGCATAGGAATACATTACCATGAGGTAACCTAGAAGTATGACTTCGAGGAACTTCCACTACTCATTGGTAACCAAACATATGTTCTTCCTCTTTAACAGAGACTATGCTACCCCTTAGTGAAGGTGGAGAAAGGAAACTGCATTTACAACGGAGTAAAAACATATGCAATGACTATAGACTATCTGAGAGGCTACAAGACCACAACCTTAGCTTACCTTTCAGTAACTTGTCCATATCCTGTGGTTTTCCTCCTATTCTCTACCCTGGAGAACATCTCTTATGACTGCAATTCATTACACATCTTTGCCACAGTTCTGCAAAGGAGCTAGCAAGGTATGCAATATGAATACCTCCATCAAAACCATAAAATTGTCAAGAGTATCCAAGTAGACCAGTACAAGGAACATATGAAGTGCTTCCAATGTCCCTGGAATGGCTGAAGCTGCACCCTAGTGACAGCATACATCAAAGTTTCTTGCCAGTTTTTTTTAAAAAAAAGACTGAGCACTTTCCTAGATTTCTGATTTCTACTGCAACACAGAGAGATTAGAGTGATGCAAATATTCTTCAAGGGCTTCTAGAGTCTCCTTTATTTGGTTACTTACTCTTAACAAGGCCATAGCTACAGTAAGACATAAGAGGACAAAGGCTTTCTGCTGGAAGATGATGTTGGACTGGAGCAAGAGGCAGAAGAACTAGAACCAAGTTTAGGTTTTTTGCCTTCCCCTATTCAATCTTTTGCTTCTGCAGAGATCTAGTAATGGCTGATGACAGCAATTAAAGAGCATTAGATCAACAATTGCTGGAACTCATGTTCCTACTACTGGTTGGACTCAGACACCACAGTTGATGATCTGTATAAACTAACATAAATAGGCATTACAGTCATGCCTCTCTCCCTATCTACCAAAAGCTTGCTTTCAGGCCACTGTCATTCCCTCCTCTATGCTAGTAGAAGTGCTTGTGCAGTCACACAGTGAAACAGATTGTGGAATTGACAGGGACTAAAACTAACACCCTCCCTTCTCCATTCTTGCCACTTTTGGTTTTACTAGGTTATTTCTATGACTTGGTTCACCAAGTGGCCATACAAATGCCTGTGGAGGCATACAGAAAAGGTAGGACTGAGCAGCTAAGGGAATCTGGAAAATTTGATTGAACATGATATGATCACAGAACTACAGATGACAGCCTCTCTACACGCAATAAAGAGGTAAAGTAGTTTCTTTCTCAGAGATTTGCTATCATACTTCCTCTAGATCCTAGATTTTACAGACTAAGTACATTAGAACAGAAAGAGATCAAACAACTGAAAGATACTTCAATTTCTCCTCTTTCATGTTGGCATTTGGACCCAAACCGAGATTATCTTGACTATGAGATGGTACAGGTTTTGACATTGATGGCCTCTTCTCTCTCTCAGGCTGCTTTAACTCTGGGTTGCTTTTCTGAAAAGGTCTTCTGCAGTGCTCTTTTTCCTTGCAAACATCTTGGAACCAGCCCTTTGAAGGCTGAATCCTCAAGCAGCACTTGAGAAGAAACTTCCTGTAACTTCAACTCAAGAAAAGGAGAAAAGTAAAAAAGTGAAGGCCACCACAGAAACATACTGCACAAATGCATCACATATCAGAGAACACCATAATTTAAATAAGCACTGATATGGATTCTGAACAGGTTGGTGAGAACTAACACTACCCATGTACTGTAGCAGCTGTCAGCAATACTCATGAACTAGAAGAAATTGGCACGGTAGCCTAGACACAAAGACAAAGGTCAGAGCCAGCACTAACCCAAAAACAACACTTTCAATGCTGACACTACTCTACGCTTCAAAATTCCCCAAACACCCACGTTTTAGGTTGTAGCACTATTTCTTAGAGGACAAGCTGCATGGTATTCTGCAATTTAAAGTCCTCCCAGAAATAAATGTCTATACAAACACACACACACTCATGAAAAGCACCACACCACAGAACAGATATGGCAGTATGAATAAACTGCAGCAGACTTTTTTATCAGTTTAGAGCCATCTGTGTCAGACCGATACCCAGCATTAGTCCCAAGAGACATGAATCGTGCAGCACCCCTGTCTCATCTACCCCTTGGAGCCTTCAGTCTTTTTAAAAGTGTCTTTTCTTTCTAGGCACAAAGCTGAAAGAACAAAGCTGTTCAGTCAAAGAATAACCTGAATACAACAAACTGTTAACCCAACTTAGCTCACTTGCAGTTGTCTTCCTCACACAAAAGCTTCCAGCTTTGACAGGTCAGCCTTACACTCAACCGTATGACAGTCAGCAGGTATTCAAATCATTGCTTGAAAAAACAATATGAAGACAGCAGATTATTTTCCAGCAGGGAGATTTTAAGCCCTGCTTTCCTTGCAACTCTTCCACAGTTTAGGATGGTACCAGAAAGGCCTCGCCTTCCATTACCTCCAGCTTTTATCTGGTACAAGGATTATACCTTTAGAACATAAATCATGGTCATACAATTCAATTTACCAACTGACTGAGTGAAGAGCACAGCGGGACATTAATTTCTAAGAGAAAAAAAAAGAGGAAGTAATGGAGGAGACAGCAAGAATTATAGGACAGAAGCTACATGAATTCTGGTTCACTGAAATCTCTCCTCGTGAAAGACCAGATTTCCAGCCATGACCAAAAGAAATTAAATTTTCAGTTCTAAAATATCCTTGGAACATCTTGAATTTCTATTTCTTCTCAGCCAAGACAGTCTGTACTCAGTTCAGATCTATAGCCACTATGCCTGACCTTAGTGCATTACTTACTGTGAACTCAACAGCCATACCAATCAGACTACACTGAAAGCTGAAACAAACACAAACAGGGCCAGGAGTTTCAATGCCCACTTTTTGGTTGATTTATGTTTCCTTTTCTCACGTGACCTTGAGTACACTGAGACAACTATCTGCTAAGCTATGAGAAATAGGTGCAAGTACCAGCTAACCTCACCTATGTGGCCAGGAACCCCAGTTAACTCACTGCAGGCCTGGAACCAAGACTGTTTGAAGCACAATATGAACTACTGATGGTAGCTTTCACCTGTCTTAAGGCATTTTAATAATCTTTATGGAACCTTTACCACTGAAATTTTGGTTACTTCTTCTTCCAAGTCTGTTTCAAGTGATTCCAGCCATTATCTCTGGTACTGCACATACTATTTTTGCTTGTACTAAGCTTTTAAAGAAGCAGACAAGCAGTCCCCACTTTACACTTTCTCTGTTTAACAGCTATATTAACATTAAATATTACTAGTAGTTTTATACTTAAAAATATGCAACATTCTAGGAAGCCCATTATCCCTATTATCCAGAGACTACAGTGGTTCTACTAACAGAAGAAACACAGATGACAGAACAAATGAGTTGAGAACACCTCCCCTCCAGAGCTTGACAGAACATGGAGCAATTTCTGAAGTCAGACCTGGATGGACTTGCTATACCAGTGCAGCTGCTTTGTGTGTTACCATCCACCTTGGCAAGGCAGCAGTGCATGCCAATGCTGTGACTCCTAAAAAGATACCAGCCTTTTGGCACCAAAAAAAAAAAAAAAAAAAAAGGAGACATTTTGAAATCATTGTAAGCATACCTAAAACAGACAATGGCGTACTTATCTGGTATGGTTACTCTATAATATAGTTGCGGTTCTGCAAAATGCCTAGGGATAGTTCCAAGCATAAGAAATCACTAGTAGAGAACAGGACTGCAGGCAGATTCTAAAAGCATCCTTCTTGGAGCACACGCATCACTTGAGTTAGCAAGAGTTCCTTGCGGATAAACCAGCAGATGCATCCCAACTGTTTCAACTTTCCATCTACCCATAAAGCTCAAGAGAAAGGACAGAATAAATCAGATTGAAGAAAATTAGAGAATAATTGTGAAAACAATTTTTGGTAATACAAAAAGACGTCCTTGGAAGACCTTCTGAAGAATGATAGTAATCTCAAGATTTCTTCCTCTCCTACTACAGAATGACAATATGTCTTTGCCTTCTGAAAACAGCACTGACACAGTCAAACATCTTTAGCCTCCA